AGGGGGGGCGAGGGCGTCGGTCTCCTCCCCCGATCCCCGCCCCCCCTTCCCCACTTGCGAAAGGTCCCCTTGACTGTCAGCTGCGACCTCTGTCGTCATCGTTATCATGGCTGTTATTACCCCTCCTGTGTGTAAGTTTATCTCGCCGGTGGATGAAAGAGTCCGTGCTCAGTCGTGGCTTGGACGGCTGGCTTCCTGCACGAAGGCCCGTCGTCGTCCTGCGCTTTGGTGGGGTGACCCAGTGGGCCCGATGATGATGATAAGGAGAAGGAAGAGGAAGAAGCGGATGAGAAGAAGAAAAGAAGAGGAAAAGCAAGAGGAAGAGGAGGAAGCAGATGAGAAAGAGGAGGAGGAGGGGTCTGTTGGGACTCTGCCCTTGCAGGAGAGCAAGGCGGGATGGACATCGAAGGAATCCCTCAGCTTTCTGTTCCGCTTCTGCCAGCCAGGGCCCTCAGCTGGTGTGGATGGCCTCCCTCTGTTGCTGCTCTACTAATTACTCTCCCAAAGGCTGTCTGGATGGTTGGCTGTTCTAGATCAGCCTTTCTCAACTTCTTCGTCCTGGAGGAACCCTTGAAATAATGTTCAGCTGTCAGGGAACCCCTCCATCAACATTAAAAATAAAATACGAAAACTTCATAATACAGTCCATGTCTAGTTTATATCAACCATGTTTTACATTTACAACAACTGCAAAGCAGCAAGCTGGCAGCTGAGTTGGGCCATGGAAAAACTCCCACCGCTGCGAGCACTAGCATTGCACAGTGAACAAAGTTTGAAAAATGATTTTTTTTTTCAATCGCGATTTCTTGTGGAAGCTTGGTTGAGAAAGGCTGATCTAGATGAATAAGCCACAGAAGATAGGGGGTTGCAGCATTGGGCAGATAGGTAACATTGGAGTGTCCTGGGGTTGTGCAAAGACAGGTGTTTCCCACTCATCCATTGTGAAGCCCTAATGTGCAAAATTTTGAGAAGTACTTAACACATTCATTAGAAATAGAATTGTATTGACATGATTCAATCAATAAAATAAAAAGTTTTAGAGGATAATGTTGCTAATGAACAATCATTTTATTTTTCCAGGATCAGCGTATTTCAGATGGCAGCTATGAGCCTCTTTCTTCCCTCTTTAACTAATGTTCATGGGTTGTAGTACACCAAATAAAAGTTCCAAGGTAAGAGATCCGTTTTCAGTCATTATTTGTGTATTTCAGTTTCAAATGAACACTGCAGTTCTGATATGAAATTTATTAAGCGTGCATAAAATTAACTTTTGAATATATATTCTGTCCTAAATAGTTATGTTCATTTACTTAATCTCAGATCAGTCTTGTAAAAATGTCACAGGTAACTATGGGTACTTTGCATTTTACTGTTTTCTTTCTCTTCTTTTTCTCCCTTACCAATGGGGGAAAGAGAACAGAGAACCTGGAAAACGCATGGAGGCATGCTTGCTGTTTGCTTTTTCATTCTTATTTAACGCATTTTTACCCTTATTGGGAAAGTCTTATCTCTCAAAGAAGCTCAAAACATCATCTCATCTAAAAGGGTGACATACGCAAGGGTTGGGGAATATCAAGAAAAGGCAAAGGGAGAAGATCAGTTCTTTAAGTCCAGAAAGAAGCAGTAAACAATATGCAGTTCAGGCTAATTTCCCTTCCTTGGCTAGCAGTTTTGGGTTCTTGTTTGTTTGACAGACAGGTGGAGCAAGAACTGTCACAGTCCTTAAGATGTTCAGTCCCAGGGCAGCTGTGAGGAGTAGCTGAACTTCTTTTAATCTGACAGGGAAGATAAAAGAAAACAATTACTCTTTCTGTGGTCCATATAAGGAGCCAGATTACATTTTTCTGTGGTATGAACTTCTTCCGGGGGGCATGGAATAAAGGGTGATAAGGAAAAGTAGATATTAATGCTGCAAAAAACTTTGCAAAAAGGGATGGACAAAGAACTGAATGTATGTAATGCACTGCAACAAGGAACGTACAGTATATCTTTTTTTCGTGTTCCGATAAATTGGATTGCAAAAATAGCTTTTGAATTATAATAAGTTTCTTTTTGTTCAAGTGGTTCATTGGTGTATGAACAATGGATTCTCTGGATCATATGCTCACTGATCCACTGGAACTGGGGCCAACTGGGGAAGGAAATGGCACCCAAATTATGGAGGATTGCATGCTGGGATCCATACGCATTAGCCTTCCTGAAGATCTTTTGGAAGATGTGAGTAGACATCCAAGTCACAAAAACAATATATGAACTGAACAATTATCATAGTTATCTTCGGAAAGATTAAATCAGAAATGGTAGTCATGAAGTATTCTGTAATTTAATCAGGAAATATTCAAACATTTTTGTGAATCAGTAACTGGATCAGGATCATATAGTGAAGCAGGATCACTTTTCCCTTGTCTAAATTGTGTTGTGTTCTTCTTAGAATCACATGCAAATTCAGGGAAAGGACCAGACATTAGAATAACTGCTTGGGTAAAAAAGACCAAGTGCCTATTTCTTTAGTATAATTCTCTGACTGTTATTGGTGACTCTTCTGGTACCTCTAAAAAAATTCAAGTAGGGTACAAATAGAAAGCTGTCCTTTGTTACCTGTGCACAGCATCCTGAATGCAAGTATACTGCTGTTGAATATGGATGGTGATGTAAAGTCTTCCGCACTTCATCAAAATAGAATTGATTGTTCAAAAAAGGAATGTGATGGCTTTTTCTTTTATTTGTACAAAACAAATAACTGTGCTTCCAAAGCTTCTTTAGAAAATCCTCTTATAAGACGACTTAATTGAGCATTTGGCTTGAATCTGGCTTTTGTATAGTACCTTTCCCTCTGCCAGAATTAGAGGCCCAAGCTAAGACCACATCTCCTACTCAGTTCATCCTGCATTCTGAAGGAACCCGGGGGACACATCTTGTGTGTCCTGCCCCAGATATGTTGGACGTCAAGAATCAATTCTGCTTTCTCCATTGTGGGGCTCATATTAGGGAACAAACTGCAACTGAAGCAAGCCTCTCCTAACTACTGTTTAGGAATGAGCTCACAACAAATTTATTCACTCATACTTCTGCCACTCCTGTTTTAGTTTATATTTGTCATGTTTTCATGGATATTTTATTGTATCTTTGCAAGCTGCCCAGAGCTGCTAAGGGAATAGGCAGCATATAATTTTTTAAAATGAGGGAAAAAAATCCTTTTCTGATATCTTATTCTGTTATATTTTCTGTAGCCTGAGATCTTCTTTGAAGTTGTCAGTCTTTCAACCTGGCAGGAAGTATTGATGGATTCACAACGAGAACATTTGAAAAAATTTTTGCCCCGCTTTCCAGAAAACAACCCTGAATACCAGAATAATCTTATCCTGTCCCTGTTTAATGGAGAGAATTTCCGATTTGGAAACCCACTTCATATTGCCCAAAAACTCTTCCGGGGTCAGTGACGGTTTTAACATACACTTTAGAACTCAACTTTGTGTTTAGCTTTAACGGCTTATCTTGTTTTATCTTGTATTTTAAAATTACACTTATGAACCATTCTTATATGGGGCAGCTATATAAATACAGAAGATAAATAAATCTAGTTGCAAAAGCATCACAAATGTAAGATGATGAGTTTTTAGTAACTAAAATAGAAAAATGCTAGTTTTCTATAATAACCTTTATATGAACTGCTGCATAAAGTTGAACATAGTGCTTAATGTTTAAAGTGTTCCCATGTGCTCTAAGTGCAGATGATGTATGCTGTTTGTTATTACATTCATTTATATCCCACCTTTATTCTGAGAGCTCAGGATAGCTTATATGAGACCTAATTTTATTCCCACAACAAACACTCTGTGACACACACATAAACAGGTGGAGCTTCAGTCACATTGTCACTGCTGCTACCTTGAGGTTTTTTTTTTATCATACCCTGTGGACACCCCGTCTGTGAAGGAGGTTGGCTGAAAAAGTGTGTGATCTTAAACTTGGAGCTTCCCAGTCCCACACATTGACCCTTACACTGTTGGCCTCATGGGGCAAACCAGAGAGGAAACAAGACCAGATGAGCTACTTTATTATAAAGCTACATTGACAGAATCTGGCAAGTCTGAAAGTACTATTCTCCCCCATCTCCTTTACAGCCTGAGAAACTAGGAAGGGTCTCTTATGAGCCCCTTGCCCTGCCCGCTGTCCAGCTGTGGGCTATGCTGTCTCTTATCTGGCCATCCCCTTGGCAGTGTCTCTTTGCCCAGTCTCCCAAGGTCTTTCCCACAAGCCATTACATACACTGATGGTGAGCAGTCATGTGTATCCTTAAGGTCATATTGCAAGAATGTAATGATAAAATGTCCAAATTTCAGCAGCGGAATGTTTGACACATTCCTTGGAATTTGGGGTGACTTTTAGGATGGGAATGGGAGCACCTTGCTCCCATTTCCCTCCTTAAAACCCAACAATGGCCCAGCCCTTTCCAGTAACATCAGTGCTGCTGATTCTGGCTTTTCTAAAGGATGGGAGTTTTGACTTGGAGAAACATCAAGTCACTTGTGTCCTTATTTGTTTATGCAGAAATTATGCAGTATGTTTGGGATCCTTAAAAATGCCAGTTTTCTTTGTAACAGTCCTTCCTTCACCTGTTGCTAGGATTAAGCAAACAAAAAACAAACAAAAAACAACCAGTAACAACATTAGTGTTCTTGTTATAGATGGACATTTCAATCCTGAGGTGGTGAAATACAGACAGCTTTGCTTCAAGTCCCAGTATAAGCGCTACCTCAGCTCCCAGCAGCAGTACTTTTATCGATTGCTGAAACAGATTCTTGCCTCCCGGAATGTAAGTATTAGAAGACACAATTATGGGGTACAGAATGTAGATCTTAAACCCTGTATTTGTAGTTAGGATTGGTCACCCGTTACCTCATAGAACTCTAGATATCGAAAACAGCTAAACTAGATCTGCAGACTTAATGGTGCTGTAGCATCTGGAGTTGCCTTTTTCACTGTGTCTCTTTCAGCATCTTTTAGAACTTGCTAGGAAAGGGGGCCAAGATCTGGCCGTGAAGAGAAAATATTCCGCAGCTGCTTATGCTGCTGAAGAACGAGATAGACGAACACATCAGCGATACCTTAAAATCCTCAGGGAGGTTAAAGAAGAATGTGGAGACACCACCCTATCTTCTGATGAAGAAGGTACTAGTGTGGATTCTTGGGATTAATTGAAACCTTCAGATAGAGAAGAGTCTAGGAACTCTTTGCTAATATAGTATCCACTGAAAATATAAACTGATAAAAGAACATGAAAGTGGAAATTTGTAATATATGATATTACATAATTAATCAGTGGGGGCATTTGGACTTCAAATCCCATAATTTCAGCCAGTATAACTAAAGATTGGAAATTGCAATCCCTGCATATCTGGAAGGTACCAGGTTGAGATAAGGATTACTATGTACCATCTTAAACTTGCAGTTCTTGCAAGATTTTAAAATTGGGTTGTCAGCAGCATTTGATATATTCAGGGCTAAGATATTTAATTCTAAGTGTATTTGCTGAAGTTGTCTACACATAGTGTTTTTCATGTGTTTAAGACAGGAAGTGCTTTTTGATCAGGGTTCTTCACATGTTGGTACCTTGCAGTACTATTTACTTAAATTCTGTTCTGCTTAGGAAATATGGCCAGATCTTATTCTAGGCTATTTCTCTCAGCATGTCTTTCAACCAAAGTTATGGTTATAGAACATTATTTATTTTGAAGAATGTTGTTATTTCCATTGTTGCAATCAATTTACTACAATGACACAGTTTCCTTAGAATTACAGCTAGAAATAGATTTAACTTAACAATTCTTGTTACCTTGTGGTCTTTTAAAGGTACCTATATTGTTCTAAGTTTTCTGATTAAAGAAGTCAGAGTGTCAAGTTACTTAAATAGGTAATTGTGTCTACTGCTTAGGAAAACAATTGTGTGCTGAGATCTGTTCAGTATCCCTCTAGAAACCTGACTGTTCTGCATTTCAGATTTGAGTTCCTGGATTCCAACTTCTCCAGCCCACTGTTCAAGTCCTACTGTTCCTCTCAGAGTGATACCCACGTTATCAACCCAAGACATGAAAACAGCAGGTTTTGTATCCTAACCCACCTTGAAAATGTTCTGCACAGTAAAATTGTGCAAGATATTTATTTTTATTATAATCGTTAAAACTAGGTTTTCTAGGTTTTCTAAAAAAAAAAAAGCTGTTTCTTTTGCAAAAGCATTTTTTCTTATTCTGTGAGGGACAGTGGACAATTTTAAGAGAAATATGAAGGCTAATTAGGCTGTTGTTTGCCTGCCCCAAAATAAGCATAATTTTACATTTTTTAAAAGCACATAACAGTGTAATATTTTAAGCCTCAGAGATGCATTTTTGCTTAGAAAAGTGAAATGTCAATACTTACGTGGTAAAGTACTGTTCCACGTCAACGTGGTTCCTAGCGACTTCATGTCCATGGCATTCCCCTGGCAGTAGCAGGGCAGTGGTTTGTCCATGCCTTCTTCTAGGAGATGTGTTTGGACTTCTCCGTCCAGCCTACAGCTGTGGTATATTTGCTGCTCTCCGGTCTGAGTTCTAATGAGGCCTGACTCTGCTTACCCTTCCAGAGTTAACCAGGTGCTGCTGCCTAGCTTGGCCAGAGCCTTTTGTCTATGTGAAGTCTCTGAGTTGACTTTGACTTCTGGTGATTCTAGGTAACAGTACTGAAGTGTTTCGCCATTGCCTTCCTTCCAGGATGTTTTTCAATTTCTCAATCTAGCCTACAGCCTTGGGGATCTCCCATCCAAGTATAGCCAGGTCTGACCCTGTTTAGCTTTTTCAGATCAGCCGAGGTTGGCTAGGTGCTGTCAATAAATTAATCCATCTGGCAAGGCTATTTTAACCTGGTAGGTTGTGCAACTGACTGGAGTTTTGTTGTCAAAAGGCAATAATTATGAACAATGCCTTCTGAAGAAGAACAGTTGAAGGTAGAGGTGTAATATAACAATGTAAACAATTACTACTATACTTTTAATAGTATAGTATTTACTATAAATACTATGTATAATGTATAGTATTATATATACATTATAATATGTATTGTAATATCACTTTATGTAAATAGATTCACAGCATCGTCTTAATAATATTGGGCTTGTTTGCCACCAGATAAATTGGATTTCGGTGAGAATAGCTTGAAGATGATGCTGAAGAAACACCATGAAAAGCGCAAGCGCCAACCTGTAAGTTAATGCCAGTGAGACACTGGCTCTTTAATATTTAGTTATTAGCACCGTTTAAAGTAGCAAAGGAGGACACTAACAGTCTGCCTTCCTTTTTCTCCTGCTAATATGTACTCAAACATCTTACTGTGTTGAATGAGGCTTACTCTCTCATAAATATATACAGGGTTCCAACCTAAATTTGGTGTGAGGAGCAAAACTCAGCCTGTACAGACCTAGTTGCTAGCAAAGTACAACAAAAAATAGGGTGTTTTTTCTTGCAGGTTTCTTTTTGCTATAAACCTGATTTTTTTTCTCTCTCTCTCTCTCTCTCTCCCTTTCTTCTGCATAGAATCACCCAGATCTCATGACAGGGGACTTGACTCTGAATGACATCATGACCCGTGTGAATGCCGGCAGGAAGGGATCTTTGGCAGGTCAGTGAATCAGATGCAGCAAACTTATGCCTTATCAGTAACTGACATGGAGAGTTTTTACCTTTCTCCGAAAAGATCCGTGAGAATTAAAGGCTGTGTATCTTCATGCAAAAAACAGAAGCTATCTTGAGTGTATGTAATCTCTTTAGTTTATCACCCCAATTTCCTGGAACTTTCAACTAAAAGCCCTGTACTAAAGTATTAGCAGTATTAAAAACATTTTTCTTTAAACTCTTAGATCTGCCTGGTATAGTTACAGTATTGGTGCAAGCACTGCCTTGCAGCAGGATAAGCCCATTGTTCCAAGGTATGAAGAGAGAAGGAAAAGATGACAGGAAGATTTTCTGAATGGAGCAGCAATATGTGTTACACTTTTGGTCTTTCCAATTTTGTAGCGGGTCGGTTGAGATGCAGGGAATACATTTCCATGTGCCCGATTGGCCTTTCAGTTTGTGTTGTGATGTGAGCAACTAATTTTCTGAACTCTTGCTGGTTTTCAACGATGGGTCACTTGTTACACAGTTGTTGTAACGATTTCAAAAATCCCAGAACGTTTGTAACCCCATAGACTTGTACAGTCACAGCTGTTATGTACAGTTACAGCTGCAGCTATTTGCATGTTTATTTGGGGATAAGTGCCACTGAACTTAGAATCAGCTTCCAAATAAGCATGCATAGTGTAAAGCAGGGTTCCTCAACCATGGCAACTTTAAGATGGGTGGACTTCAACTCCAAGAATACCCGAGTTTGTGGTGGGGAAATTCTGGGAGTTGA